AACTGATAATGATGTTATACTGGCATTGTATAGTGATATTTGAGAATTTTGCACTAATATTTAAACATTTTCACTGATATTTAGATGTTTCATACTCATTTTGCTCTGAGACTTATAAATTTCTCACTGTTGCGCATTAACAAACATAATTTGAGTTGGTGCGATTTATGCGCACATAGGTTTAGACATTGAGAATACATTAATAAAAAACATCTAATTTGCACTGATGCATACTTCGTTGCACATACACAATCATACTACACAGATTTTTATAATGATATTTAAGCGTTTTATAAAACTCAGTTTACAGAATTATAGAATTATAGTTTATAGAACTTACTATGATACATATAAAAATTCTGCACTAGTGCGTATATTTAAACATATATTACCCTGGTGCATTTTATTCGCCCTTAAGTGAGGCGGATGCACTTACACTTCAAAGTCTGTTTGACACTATTGTGTACATTATTATGAATACACAATCATTTACACTCATATTTTTACATCGCTATTTGAACATTTTACTCTGTTTTTACGCTGCGATGCGCAGAAATTCTACGCTGAGGAGCACAAACAAAAATTGCTCTGGTCCGTTTTTGTGCACATGGGTTTAGACAGTATGGATACATTGATACGTACACAGTAGAGTATACATAAACATTTTACACTGATATTTAAACATTTTATACTGATTTTATTCTGATATATATATAAATTCCACACTAATGCGTACATTTAAACATAAATTACTAGGGTGCCTTTCATGCGTATGTATAGCTTTAGACACCGAGGATACAATTACACTAAAGCGTCTATTTTACAACTGTTGTGTATACATGAACATTTTGCAAGGGTATTTTGCACTGATATTTAAAAATTTTATACTGATTTTATTCCGAGACAGCAGATTGCACCCCATTTTCCTAAAAACTTTGGCTATTGAGTATCATTGTGTCGACATGGATACCTGCTCCATGTTGCGGTGGATGGACATTAAGTAGCGATCTCTTGTACTTATAATCGGCTGGATTAAGATGAAGATATCCGTACGTTACCTGTCTTTTAAGCAATTTAAGAGTTATTATTGCTGACTCCATGACTGCCCTAATGTAGAGAGGTACTAGGCTGCTAGGACCGTGGCAGCTGCAGTTGCTGTAGTACGATAGGTTTTAGGCGAATGGGCGTTGCGCGTTACTTAAATTCTTGATTTTACGTGTATTCATAGGGCCATCCCAGATTGCCCCAAATGTAATGGATTTTCCACTACCGTATATAAGGTTCCAACCTCTTTTCTTAAGATATTCGTGTGGAACCTCGAAAACTGGTAAGCGAATAATCGCTTTAGCGCAGGAAACAGAAATGTAAACTCAAGAAGGATTAATTACCCTTTATTTCTCAAAATAAGAAGGTACAGACTGCTCTTGTCTTAGAGCGTACAGAAAAGCCTCTACTTGGGCTTGAACTCAAGAGTTCTAAGAAATCAAACTTAACTAATGCTTAACTTAAAAGATATAGCCGAAGATATCAAAATTCTAAAGTATTTGGCCCCTAAATGTTAATTAAACTGCTAAGCTATCAAGGGCCAGAATACGGCCGAGCGTAGTAATAGCTTAGAGAGAGTGTAGCCAAAAGGCAGACGCGCGCTAGTCGGAACCTCTGGCTCTCTAACGAAGTCAGTAGAACTTCGACTTAAGTACCTCCCTTCCTCATTTGCATTAACCACGATTCTAAAAACACACTCTGGCAGGAAATTGTAAGCTGAAATTAGGAGAGACAGGAAAGTAGCTTAAATTAAAGATAACTGCTATAACCTTAGGATAAACCTTACACGTACTGTAAATCATTTTGAGAATGTGTGGCCAGTCAGAACCTTGCATGTCACCCTATACGCAAAGCTTTGGTCCTCTATGCTCGCAGATGCAGTATCCAAGTCAAGTCTCCATCTATAACGAGGCCCAGGAGTTTGAGTTCCGTGGTTTGCTTCATTCGTTTACCATTCATTTCTATTAATGGGTTTCTTTATATAGTTTCTTCAGGTTTGTGGAAAATAATGTACCTGGATTTCGTTTCCGAGATTTTAAATCGTTTCTGGACACATAGACGATGGAAAAGCGAGTGATTATTCCTCCATTGTGGACTAAAATGTAAATCCGGTTGCTGCAGTGGCTGCAGAAGATTATTAATACTTGCAGAAGATTATTAAGAATATTGGCTCTATGCGATGCCTGTATTATGGCGGGCTTACACAAAGAATTGAATGCACTTTGTAGGTTTAGACTAAGGAACGTTGAATAGCATTTGTTTCTTTTAATTGCTCTCATTTCATGTTTGAATAATGTCCAGAACATTTGGGGTAGACCGATTTTCTCGAAATCCAAACTGGGTCTCTGAGATGGTGCCATTTATTGTTAAATGACACTTCAAGCTAATTATCGCTAGCTTTTCGTATACTTTCCTCAAAGCAGGGAGTAAGCATATCGGCCTGCGCGATGTCGGTCATTTTGATCCTTATCAGACTTCGAGAACAGAATAACTTGACCCGTCTTAAATAGTCTAGGGAAGTGTGTCAGATCCAGAAGTTTGTTGAGGTATTTCACCAGAAAGTGTAATTTTGCCTTATGGACAAGCTCAGATGATATTGTAATCCAAAAAGTCAGGCCCCGCCGCCTTTCGCTTTTTTAATGCTGATCACCTCGTTTACTTCGGATGGCATGAAGAGTACTTCATCAATGGGCAAGCAATAGGCTGGATAAGACTGAAGATCCAGTTCAGCCCGCTGCTCCACTGGAAATACTGCTTCCAAAACAGTAGAGTGTCGATTCCATCGAAATGAAAGTGGACTGTGCTGAATGCAAGTATTCTCTACGCTGAGGTGGTTTGAATACTTTATTAGAAGCAATTTTATGTAAAATTCCATACACTTCCGTATTATTGGTGCATAAATTACGCCGGCTTTCTAGTTTGGACTAAAGTATATTTTTCTTATAGATTGCTAATGCCTGTTTGTCGGCAACACCTAGTGCCTGCTTTGCTTCCTGGTTATGCTTAGCTTTCATTCATCTCCTCAGGACCCTCCTGTGACTGCGCTGTGTCCTGAGGTCTTTCAAACACCAGTTTGGGCGATGTAGTACTTTGGGACTTTTTAGAGAGAAGATCCTATTGCACAGGTCCTGTAAGCATGCGATTAACTGAGCTGTAAAAGAGCCCAGCACGGAAAAAATGTCTGGCACTCGTCTAATTCGTACAAATACCTCTCTCACTTGGTTGGTGAATTTAGAGAGATTGCCTCTCATCAACTTATATCGCTTTATAAAGAACGTGGTATGGGGATGGGCGATACTATAGGTAATGTACATATGGTCGGAAACAGAGGAACATCTTGCGCTGTCCAATTGCAAATTTTTGAAGCCATTAACGCAATTGAGAGGTTCAGATCTGGCCACTCCTCCTCAAGAGTAGTCTCTTAACTTAGGGTACTGTTTAGGACATTATGAAGGGTTAGGTCATTACTTGCAACGAAGTCTTCGACATCACGGCCTTTTGTATCCGTATTACGGCATCCATCGTCTCGGTGCGGGCGTTATAATCTCCAGCCAACAGATTCCATCGAAGGATACATTCTGAGTAATTCTTGCTTGATATTTAGAGCTTTCATAATATCGGCTCTTGACTGGATGTACATGTTGGTAGTATAGATAATGAGGTTTGTAGCTCCTACCTCTCTGGTGACAGTGTCTCTAAAGAAGAATACTATGTTGGGCAGCATATCGCTGAGACTCTTAGGTTTTCCTGCCATCGAAATGTATGACTTCCATGCTAACGATATTTCTCCTACCCTCTTCCGGGGACAGTATGGTTCCTGTGACAGGATGAAGTTCACTTCCCATTCCATGACATGTTATACGCCATTGCTACTCTCGCCCTCTGAAGACTGATTTGCAGAACACGAATTTAATCTTGTTGAATTATGTGAGCACCGGTATCACCATCCGTGTCCTGTTCCATATCAGGGGAACTCATGTGCACTGGTGGACTTCGTTGATGCTTTTTGCCCGTTGTCTAGTACTTAGTATTGCTGTGAAATCGTCTGGCAATACGTTGGTACTATAGGCATCTGGGGTAGTAGGCTGCATATTTAGTCATGGTTTATGCCATGCTCGTAGTCTGCTGTTTTGCAGTTAATGCAGGCTGGTGATCGGGATCTTTAGGTGCGCACAAGGTGGTTTCGCCGCTCAGAATGCACAGAATTGTGTCTCAGTGTGGCAGGTAGCTTCCGTGTGGCCCAACTGCTGGCATCGGTAGTACCTCTTGATTCCCAGGTGTTACAAGCTGCATTTTTTTTTGGTGTTTGTTAACTTTTAATTACTTAACTTACTGATGGTGCCGGACAACCACTCACTAAAAATCAAAATAAATCAAATTCATATATCATAAGAACCATCGTATAGTTTTAAATAGTATCTTAAGCGTAGTGTATATCGGCATCCGAGATCTGCCGCTGAGAATGGCCTAGTTAATAATCAGGTTCCCTGTAATTTTCATAAAAATCCTAATTCATAGTAGAAACAAAAATTTTCTAACCAACATAGCCTACCATTCAATTAACACAAATCACACAATAAACATTTACACTGCATACTTATTTATTAATATATATTCCAAGCAAAGGACATTACATATTATTTTTAGGTTTAATACTCCGGAGGTTAAAAAGAAAGATAAACACATAAATTTAAGAAAGGTAGTTAAAATTTCATATTTTTTTCATGATTAATTTAGACCTAGGTATTATTTAAATTTCCGACATTCATTTCCTTAATACTTGTATTTCAGAAAAATCTTACGAACTTCATTTTGATTGAGTCCGAAGTTCATGGAACATAAAATTCTCAAAAATGATAAGAAAAACAGGTTCCTGTAAATCTTAGCGTAATCGGACGAAAAAGAATGAACACAAATTCTTAAAGAGGAAAAGGAAGGTACTGAAAACGGCTTACCTGTAGGGTCCAGTGATGGTCCGCACTCTTTTATATTACTAATCCTGACATTATTAATGGGAACACACTTTCGCCTTTGTCCAAGCTTCTCTGAAGAACGTCAAGGGGTCGGTAAGCCTCGTGGTTTTCACTGTCTGGTGTCATAGGTGAGCCATCATGGGACAAGGAGCTCTCGTTGGCACCGCTTCTTTAGCGACACATCTCCTTTAGCGACATTGGTCAAGAAAGCTCGTAGGGGTCCATAGCAGCTGGGCATAGGATGAGGCTACGTAAATAATCCATTTCTGCAGACGAGACCAGGAAAACGTGCATTCCTTAGAGTTCTGTCATAGCCTTGCAAGTAACTAACAACAAAGACGCCCACTAAGAATCGTCTCGAGCGTTACCAAAAAAAAAAAAAAAAATCCACTGTAAAGCACGCGTATTATCAGTTTGCCTGATCTCAGCAGCGCGGTCAAGATAGTCTGTCTTCATCCAGAAGTCAAATTTGCAAGCAACAGAGACCCATATCCAAGAGCAAAGCGAGCAGAGCCGAGAAGAGAGCGAACCCCCAAATTTCACTCTAAAAATACTGACAGGCACTGTTTCCCAGATTTGGCAAAACTCGCCCTTCAAAAGTTTCCTAAGTTCCATTCCTTTTCTTCCAAAACCCGTCAAGTCACTACTGAACAAGTCCGCTGCCTACAAAAATTCGCCAAACTGGCTCGCAAGAGCCTGACCTCCTCTCGACCTTTTCCATTAACCTTCCTGCTTACCAGTCTAACTAATCACGTACACATCCCTTCAGCTAAACCCTGAACAAAAGACCTTGCTTCTAGAATCTTGTGGAACATTTCCTGAACGAAAAAAGACAGGCGAACGAAATGGCGGAAAGGAAACCAATATCAGGCGACCCAGTTCTTTTACATTAACACCTTAAATCAAACTTAAAATTTCACAATTAATCCAGTGCAGTTCGTTAGATTCTTCCCTTTATATTTTTTACATAAATTTTACTTGAGGCACTGGTTTCCAACATATTAAGAATTAAGTGAAAAAAATAAAAGAATAGTCTCCTTAAAATAAATATACACGTAATAAATGCTTCTTTCTAGAGACACAACAAAATTAAACTTAATATCTAATTAATTCAATAGAATAAGAAATTATTTAATTCGTAAAATCCCGAATTTTACTACACAACACAGGTATTCCCGAAACGTGTGACTGTTTCAACTTGTGTTCATCTTCTTAATTCTAAGTACTGCTGCAAAACGTGTTGGGTCATACTCGAAGATTCATTTGACCTTACCGTCGCGCTTTTATTTAAGGTGAAAGAGCTCTTTAAATGTTCCTCTGAGTTCTTCGGCAGTTTCTTCTATTGTGTTCTCAACTGCGACGTCGTGCACCAGGCATCAAGGGCGTTTCATTTCTGGTCTTGTGAATTCTGCAGAGATTTTTTACTTTCTGTAGTTGCTCCTTAAGTTTTGTGGCATCCTTTGCAGAACATCTCGAGGCCCTCTTTACCCGTCTTAGAGATGCTTTCCATTGGTACATTCAGTTGTGGAACTTACACTTTGTTTCTTAGTTGTTCCTTGAGTCCAGTAGGTGGGGTGTTCTCTTTAGGTTGTATAATTAGGCTGTGCTTTTTGGCCCTCCGTAGAACATCAGCAAATGTATTTTGCTTTGGCTTCCCTTCCACAGGAACAACTGATGAACTAAGAGCTAATTCTCTTTCAGTATTTACTGAAACTTCTACAATTAATAGAGGTTCAATATATTCAAGACCTTGCAGCGCTAAAATCTTAAAGGTGTCAAGGACTGTTAGTAAATGGTCGTTGATATTTTGCGGGAATAATTCCTGTTGGCCCTTCTACTTGTGACAATTACATGGCGCTCTTCGTGGAGGGCTAGTAACTTTTAATACTTATATGAAAGTGACTGCGAATAGAAAGAGTGAATTAACGTTGAGGAAGTTGCTGAGAATCGATGAGTCCATGTCAGTCATGTTGCGTCAGGAGTTCTTGAGTTAACGCTGGTGTCAAATTCAATTGCCATGCCAGTGTGCGTAGTGCGTATGTATGCTCAAATGGAATTGCGAGGAGTTATAATACAAAAGTGTGTGCGCAGATTGTACAAGATTATTATGGTGGCAATTATGCGTCAAAACACATGAAATACTTATGACAGAAAACTGATGCGCTAAGCACAATTACACAGCAACAGTTCGCCCATTCGTAATGCAAGTTTAATACGTTCCGTGCATATACGGTCGTACTTTTGGTAGCTGTCGGTAATTTAAAAATCGTGGCGTCACAAAATTAAAGATTTAGAAGACAAATTAAACTTGAATTTAACAAGTATTTGAACAATTACAAATTTTACTTTAGCGCAGAGCATTCCTAATCTTTGTTTCAAAGAGTGTAAATAAATTTCTTTTCGGACCTCGTGGATAAGTTCTCTGGGACACATCCGCCCACTAGTAGCAGTTTGAGTGATAGATATCAACAGGTTTCTCATAAGTTCTTTTGCAGATTCTTTCTTCTTGCCGAAATGGATGAATGATGTATCAATTTGCAGATTACACAGTTATCAGTAGCTTTTTCTCTTACTTCAAGCTTTCCGTTTATTTCTAACTATTATTTTCAGAGCTTATATATGTGCCGATGCAATCATTTATCAAACCTTCAAGTGTCAATGATACCAGTAGTCTACAAATTGTAGAGAATTTCTTTACACATCACCGTGAACGGATTTCATTTTACTGTGTACAGAATATAAATAAATTTTGCTTTGAAAACGCAGCTACAAATTCCAGTAATTTACTTCATTCTCCAACATTAGAAATTATTACATTCCCGTAATGTTAAAAATAAATTCAAGATAATTTGTTGTAATTCTTTGGGAAAATATGATAGAAATATTTTAATTTTTTGGAATAAAATAATTTTAAAAACATACTACGATAATTTCGAGGAAAGATATCCTGGTAAACGAACCCTACTCGGTAAATTGCCTTCAAAAATAACAAACTTTAAATGTACCGCTTTATTTCGAAAACATGTCATGCGAAGAGGTGACTTTTAAGTGGTTATGATCATAGACGGACTACGTCAGTTCCGCCTTGAAAAATTCTGATTTCATTTTTTTCAGTATCATTGGGTAAAAGACTTCAGTGTCATTTTTGTCTTTATCCTGCATCATTCTGAGTTATATAAGAATCATATGATGGTTTAATTTTGAAATGACGCGTTTCAAAAAGACTTATTTTTAGTATTTTGCTGTTTCAGAAAAGAAAGTGGAAATTGCCAAATTAAACTGAGGCTTAAAAGCTATTGCATGTTAAATTTAGAATTATATATATATTCCGAAGCACAACTGAATAGATTTTCTGGCAATCTGTAAGAAAATTTATCTGTATTTCAAAACATTTTTGAAGCATAAAACTTTCATTTACATATAGGATTACTCTATAAATACAGTTTTCAGTAAACTGCAGAATTAATAATTCCTTCATACGTTTTCCGAAGTTTCATCCAAAAGGCATTAATTCAGTGAAAATAAAAGATTCATAACTCTTTATTCCCTCATTTATTTATTTGTAATTACTATCATAAATAATTTTTGATTAATTGTTTAAGTCAAAACAAAATGTTTAAAATAAAAATTTTGAGATTTATTTTATAAAAAAACTCGTTCAAATAAAAAAATAGCATTTTAGTCTCAAATAATATGTACATATAATGAGCCATACTCATTTTCCATGAAAACTAGTCATTATCAAATTAAAAAATCGCCACAAAAGATTAATTAAATCTTAAGCAACAAAGTGCTATTTCAAAAGAATAGCCACTTAATTTGTTGTTCTTCTCCGATACTGAAAAATCACTTTTTGATAATACGAGTGAAGTTATTTTTATCTGATGACAGCTTCCGCGTTTGCCAATTAATTTTAATGAATGGTATTGTTCTTAGCAAAGGAAAATTTTAAACAATCTAAGTCTCATGTTTAAATTATATGTGCCCTCATATTTAACACATGTGTAGTTCCTTTTTACAAGCGGTTACAAAACGTAAACTGTCCATAAACCAAAATACAATAAAAAATAAAGTTTCTTTGTGTAGGATATCATCTAATATTTTTCAATTACGTTACATTAGTGACAAGGTAATTTGAAATCGATTAACTAGCTGCTAAGAGCTTTTAGTTTTTCCATTCAATAAAAGTCTCTCTACACTTCGGTATTGCCTTCCTTATCACATTAAGTTCCTTTTGAACAGATTTTAAGAATACTGCTTACCGAAAAATTGCATTATGTGAAAAATATTTTATTTCCAGTGGCGAATCATTCCTAAACTGGTACTCATGTTCTTCTTTATAGAATCACGTAGTTTCTACAAATATTAACCAGTTTCGCAAAAAAGATTGTAATTAGTAGTACAGTTAGTACCCAAATCCACAGCAAGCGTCGGATTTTGCAATATATCTCAATAAATGACATTATCTCTGAGAATTATTATTACCTAGTCTTGTTGATTAAATGTTCAGTAAGAAAAAGAGAAAGGCTTGATGAAAAAAAGTAAATTATATACTTAAAAATGAGGAAATGAGGGTGAGTGAAAAACAAAAATGAAAATATAAGAAGCGAAAAAAAAAATGAAAATATTTAAGAAAAATAATAGAAAAAAGCGAAAAATATTAAATGATGATTGATTTTGATGTAATAACACTCGTAAAATAGACCGTATACCTTAAATAACAACATTTTATTTAACTAAAATTGTAAGGATCTTAAGTTTTACTAACGTTTATTTTATTTTAAATCTTTACTATCACTTCTTATTTTCTACTTCCGGCCAGAATTATAAGCGTTAATGTATTTATGCAAAATTTGTCTGGCGAACGCCAAGTATTTAAGTTGTGGCTTTTTGCCAAGCGAGAGAGAGGAAGCAGTTAGTCGAAGCAGGCCGCTTACCTTAGAAGTTTCACTCAGTTGCTGGTTGCCTTCCAGGCCAGAGGTTTTAATCCTCTTGATAATTTTTAAACGTATTGTAGTGTTCACAGTTCTCTGTACTACATACGGCTTCCTGTTAATATAAGGCCAATCTTCCACGTTTATTATTTTAAAGTTAAATTAGAGTTTAGTTTTATTTTTTATATTTTTACGTTTAGACCACAAGTAGTGGGTCTGTGTATTCCGAAGTACGGAAGTTATTGTAAATAGAGAAAAATAAAGGGTTTTGTATACCCTTCTTGTGTATCCTGTCTACTCCCCACAGTGATTGAACATAGCTTTAGTAAGCTCTCTGTTCCGAGTCAGGTCATTTAAATGTTCCCCAAGAAAGTAAGGAGGAACACTGAACCTGATAGTGGCGCCCAACGGAGAAGAATAACCATGGCAGAGTTTCAAGAAGAACCTGTGCTGCCTGCAGAAGCGGCTCAGAATCCAGAAATGCCAGCTGCCGCCCTGGAAGGATTTGGTTACATCGTGCAGACCATGCGCGCATCGATGAAACCAGAAGCAACATTTAATGGAAACTCACCGGTAACCAGTTTTTTGGAAAAATTGGAGGACCACTTCATGCTGTATCCGTGCATGAGTTCCAGAAAGTCACCTTAGCTACCAGCGCTTTGAGGGGCCAAGCGCTTAATTGGTTCAAATGTATCGGCAGAAGTCTCTTGGGTCAAGCAGGAAGTCCCACCTATAATTACGAAAATTTCAAGACTGCCTTAGTAAAAGCCTTCCTTGTCGTAAGAGATCGTGCAATATTAGAAGCGGAACATTTCAGCATATACCAGAAACGAATTCAGTCCGAATTTCCAAATGAAATAATTGGCATCGATTTATTGGGCCCTTTCCCAAAAA